ACATATATCAGGAAATCTCTAAACTGCTGGGCACATTTCTAATAGCACACACTCCCTTAACTTAGTTAAATGAAGGCTGATTGAATAAGAGTGAATTAAACTAAATTCTGTTTGATCATTTTAAGTTAAAAAAAAATATTTCAAAGTACTCAAAACACTTACAATCACCAAAAACGTTTTTACAGAATGACATGACTTACCCAAGTTTCAGCATGTTGATCATATCAAAGTTCACTACATCAAACACCTTCATTGCTTTGTCATCCCCAACAGAACAGAATAATGCCCCTTCTGAACTAACTGCAATACTCTCAATGACCCCTGTTACAATAAACCCAATATAATATTAAAACATGGAAAAGACAGATACTCTTCATGCTTTGTTTTCAAAGTTATATTTACCACTTTGAAGGATTATTCAATTATCATTCTGTACTACAGCTTTAAAATACAGATACTATATACAACAATTGCAGGCTCTAAAATGTTGTTCTCAGATCTGAACAACATTTTAGAGCCTGCAATTGTTGTATATACTATCTGTACTTTAAAGCTGTAGTACAGAATAATAATAATAATAAAAAAAGAGTTCTACATTGCACTGTTCATGTCTGCATTGTCTTGGAGTAGTTAGCCACTGTACAGAGAATTAGTGACCCAACTTATTTTTTTAATTGGTCCACTAATCCCACTTAAGAAAATAATGTGCTTTTTTTGGCTCAGAAAGGATCCAATTTTGTACGTGTAAACATACTTGTTGAAGTCAATGGTAGCAATTAAACTTTTGGAAGGACTCTAAAGGATATATTTTTTTTAAAGTTGATTGGTACATCTAATTAAAAATAGCAATTTACAAGTTTTACTGTTACCATGAACAATCAGTATCACCAAGTTCTAAAAATGAAGCATAGAAAATTATAAAATAAATTGTTAAGAATCCTGTAAACAATACACCTAACAAACATTAAAGTTTATTTCCACAGTAACTCCTGATCCCTCAGAATCCTACTGCATAATGGAGTAGGACCAGATTCTCCAGCTTTGGAGAACACCTGATGAAACAAATATTTAACTACTACTAGATATTGCAAATATAGAACATAGATAGTAGAGTTGAAGAAAAATTGTGTTCTAATAAAAACAGATCAAATACAATATGATTTCTTACCTAAATGGCTACGAAAATGTTTAACAAATTCAATCCCTTCTTCTACTTTCTTCCAGAATTTGACATGTCCATCATGGCTGGCAGTTATGATAAAATCTGTCCTGCAATGATAAGCGTATCAATTGAAACATAACATTAAGAACTAGAGAGTGGAAGGGAAGAATCAATAATGGTGTACAAGATCAGTTTACTAGTACAGCATAGCTATTGAGATGGATATGCATTTTTTTCTTTTTTCCTCACTCAGAAAAGTACAACATGAATATATAATGTATTTGCAACTAGTGGGTAACAGCTAGTATCAAGACCTTACATATTAGTACAATATTCTTTATATCTTACTGTAAACAATCTTGAGTCTGTCAGTGTGCAGTAGCAGTTCAATCTCAGTATTAATCATTAAAAAGCAAGATATTACCTTCCCACACTCTGTGACTTGATTTGTAAAGAGACTACACCAACTTAAACAACACACTTCAGTCATTTTTTTCATGCTAATATTGTTAGAAGTAACATGCAATTATAAGAGGTTAGAGATTTTTTTCTGTCTCTGCAGTTGTTTACTTTTTGATGCATTTGATGTATAGCTTCTCTTGCTTGTGTAGTTATTTCATATAGCAATATGGATGAAAAAACGTAATTTAAGAATAGGAAAATGGGATTTTAAATCCACAAAACTAAGCAAGGGGTTACACGGTACTACTTTTAAATTGGTAGATTTCAAATGTATCTCTCTTTAACCAAGCCAAATCTATTTGAAGTAGCTCTGAAGAATTTAAACTCACACCTCCAAAATCATCAAGTTCCATTAGGAAAGTTTCTATTAAAAAAAAAAAAACTTCCTATCATATACACATAAAAGTTTTGGGACTGCAAGACACTGTGAAAAACAAAAGACTCACTTAGTACACACTACATGTGTAATGACATCTCTGTGCATGTAACTGCGTTCATACATTGAAGCACTCGGAAGATTTTCAAGGTAGACATGTTCAAATTCAAGGACTGAACAAAATAAGAGAAAAGCAGAAATTATTTCCTTTTAATAAATATTATATCCCATCTTCTGCTCTCTATTATTATTTACACTTGGATTAGTTTACCTGCATTAGTTTTAGTCAAAAAGGTAAGATATCAGGGCATCATGCTAACATTATGAATGAGATTTCTACCACTATTTTTTTAACCTGGATCTCCCAACTGCTGGCATGCTAGAAACAGCTAATCTCTCATTTCATTAATATTTAAATAAGCACACCGTTTTAAATAATTACACCTGTTTTCTGAAATGATAAAACAATATTAATGTCAAAGGCCCAAAGTCTGTCCCTACATGCATTTTCTCCCTCCCTCTGCCCCACCGCTAATTAAGTTAACTTGAGCATCGAAGGTCAGAATTTGGCCTTATGCAAATACTTCTTTAAAGTGTATTATTTCTCATATAAAGGAAAACTTTCACAAAGAAGACTTGAAAACAGAGTATCTATAGAAAAAATCCTTTTGTTAGAGAATAACTATAATTTTCAGAATTTTGGGGACATGTGTTTAGAATCAATACATCTCAGGTTGAGGTGTCATAATTTATTCCAAGAAGAGAGATAATTAGTCATGACCCAAGGCTTAAGGATTTATGCCCCTTCTAAACATTGTTTTTCTTTTAATCCTTACCAGTATTGTGTTATTCTCTGGAACACACACAACTTTGCAAGATTCAAAATAGATTGGACATTATATGGATAATAAGAACATTCAGTCACATACTGGTAAGGATTAAAAGAAAAACAATGTTTAGAAGGGGCATAAATCCTTAAGCCTTGGGTCATTCCATTTGCTACAGTCATGGACATCATTATCCTCTGTTTGATATGTTAATTGAAAACAAAGTCCACTTATATAGGTATCTGAAGTTACTGCTTCTTATTTTAATTGAACATATTCTTGTTTTTTTCCCTCTCGAGAAAGTATCATCTAGGGACAGTACAGCAAAAATAACTAATATTAGAAAAGGTGGTCTATAACTACAGTCATGAAAGAACTCATAAAACAAACAAATCTTCAATCTTCTGTTACAAAATGACAATATCTGAACAATAAGAAATGTGTTTACTGACAGGGCAGATGTAATCACTGCTACTTTTGAGCACTCAAAAACATGTCAGGTACCTCACAAAAGTTGTAATAACATTGTACCTGGCGTGAAGAGTTTGTAGTGTAAGTTTGACATGACAAAAATGTGTGATTCATAAACAGACTAAAGGGAAAGGAGAGAAAAATGTGACAATATCACACAATTATTGAATAGGACAAATATATTTCTTGAAAGTTCCTTTGTTTTTTTTAATCATCTTTCTCCTTCCATTTTTGGTGGTTTTCATTAAGCAACTAAATCAGCGTCATCATTTGTGTGTCACTATTTAAGATCTAACAATTGCATCTCTACCCATTTCATTAACAGACTGCAAAATGAATCTGATTCTTTATGGTCCAACTCCTTAAATGACAACCATGACTATTTGTCTAGCTGGAGGCTACTGCACTCATTGCTATTTAATTTAGTAGGCCTGTGTGCGGATGAAGAGTCAATCCCATGTTTGTATTAAGGCAGAATCCACGATGGAGATGTCAATCAGGCAACTCTGTTAAAATTGTAGCAACAAAATAACAAGCAGCTGATTGCCAGTAGTTGTCTATTTTTGAGATTTTAAGCTTTGTAAAGAATCTGTTCATGCAGGTGTTCTCCAAGAAGTATGTCTGTTGCTTTACCCTAGCCTTACAAATAAAATGTGATCTTCCTTGTAGTGAAGTTAAGCTTTTCCTTTTGGGTGGAGTAGTAATTAATCTTCATAAGTGAAAGCATTTCAAACTGTAGGCCTCAGTTGTGTATGCTTAACTTCCATACTGTGAATAGCAGGGTTACTCGTGGTAGTAAAGTTAAGATTGTGCCTGTTTGCACAATCAAAGCCATAGTGAGTGACATCTTGAAGCATCTGTTCCTATAACCCTCTTTCTTAAGGCCAAGAGAAGCCTGTGAGATTTAGAACAAGGAAAAGTTTCAAGTTCTTGTGCTGTGCAACCTTCAAAACAAGTCAGAGAATGCAGCATCTTAAATATTTGCCTTTGTTGCATTAATGAAGGAGGAACCACTCTTTGACAAAACGCATATCCACGTACTGCTCTTAGCCAATTCTACACCTAAGACAACAGACTTTACAGCACTGGCATGAAAATTCACCAGCTGGGGCACAGCGTTTTCCCGATCACCTTTTATAACAACAACAAAACAAAGGTATTTTTGTTACTATTCAAGAGGAGGAGGAGGAGGAGCTACTTATTATGGGCACATGGGATCGCGCACGAGGCTGGATCACAGCCACGTTGGGGACAGTTTTGATTCTATTCCCTCAAAAATGCCAGCGGTGCAAGGGTTTACCATCGCTCCGGCACCGCACTCCAGCACCCTTCCCGACCGGAGCCCGTGTCCCAGCGCCCGCCCAGACGCCCAGCCCGGACCGCCCCGCTCCCCCGTGTCCCAGACCAGGGCGCGGCTCCCCGCGTTACCTCTCCTCTTTTTGGCCTGCACAGCCTCCCCCGGGAGGGGCCCGACCCAGCGCTCCTCTTCCTCCTGTTCCTCGTCTCCATCCCCAGCTGCGGCGCCCACCGCTGCCTCCTCGAGCTTCCGCCTCTTGCGCTCCGAGTCGGCGGAGGCCATGTTAGTGTGCGTCACACTCCTGCGACACGCCCCGCTCGGGCGCCCGACAGTGAGGGCGGCAGCGCTTCTCGCCGTCAGCCGGACACAACCAGTGAGAGCGCAGCGCGCGCAGATTGAGGCGCGTCGGAGCCCGCTCAGGTCGCCGTGAGGACTGGAGGGCGCTGGAGCTCGCCATGGTAACGGGCTGTTTCCCCCCATCCTTAGGACCCCGTCCCGAGTGTCTGCGCCTCAGTTGCCCCGGGCCGCGCAGGCTGCGTGGAGTCCCCGTTAACTCCCCCAAAGGCCGCAGGCGGGGGCTATGCCTAGGGGGCCGCTCTCTGGGAGACCCGGTAACCACCCACCAGCCCTGCTGTGGGGGTGGGATCTGCTGCTCCCAGGCTGTCTGTTTCCGTCGCCATGGGTGTCCCCTCCCCACCGCCCTGCGTCGCCTGGGCTAATGCCCTGCTGGGGCTGCCGCCCGGGTGCCGCTCTCTGTCTCCCCTTTCGTCACCCCTCACCCCAGCACCTCATGCGGTGTGTAAACGCACCACTGAAGTGCAGCAGTACGGGGGAAGGGGCAAAGGACTCGGGCTTGCTCTTGTGTCCATGCAAAGCAAAGGAGGCCTTGGTTTTTACAGGTTCAGTCCAGCCTCCCCACAGTAAGTTGCATAAGCATTAAGGTTTTCTATCTTGGACGGACAAAGGGTTTTTTTTCATTTTCTTTTCATATGAGAGTTTTTTCCAGTCCTTTAATCATTCACCATGCTCTTCCCTGACCGTCCTCTAGTTACACAATGGTGTTTTTGAGATGGGGTTATCAGTACCGCGTACAGTATTCCATGGTGGTCACAGCATTGATTTATCTATTATAAAATTTTAGGTAGTCTTCTTACGCATTATAACATTTTTTTTTTTTTTTTTTTTTTTTTTGGACTGAACTGAGCAGAGATTTTCATTGAACTTTCTCTAGTAACCCCCTGGTTAGATTAATATCATTTATTGATGTACCCGTAAGGTGAAAGAGTAGTTACATTTTCCCATCCAATGTGCATAACTTTTTCTTGTTACTGACCGATCTCCCTGACTCTGCTTCCCCCAGCCCTTCAGTGACAGCCTGCCCTGGGGAACGGGGTTAGGAACTCACTGGCCACCTGTGGAATCCCAGTTTCCCTGTTCCCTAGCTGGGTGGGAGCAGGGGAGCTGTCCAGTGGAGCATCCTGGCAACCAAATGCTGCAGCCACCTCCACTGACAAGAGCCATCTCCGGTGCCGTGCACACGGTGGGCTGTCCAGAGTCCCTGAAGAGACTGCGTGGTGCAGGGTGCCGATCCCAGCTGCCAGCACAAACACCAAGGCGGCAGATCTCACTGGCATTGGTAACAGCTATTCAGGAGCAACAACTGGGCACTGCAGGGAGGGGCTGATGTTTTGCCACTCCCCCCCAATCTCTGCCCATGCTTTTGAGGCTGTCATGGCAGCAAAAAAATCTGCTGGTGGTTGCATTTGAGAAATGCTGCTTTAGTTTATTGGCTTCACTAGAGGCAGATTTCTAAATTTTGCAGGATTTCTGTTTGGCTCAAGTAGTCTCTCGAACATTTCCATTTAACCTTGCCTTCCTGGTTTCCTTTTTGTTTAACGGTAATAACTTCCGAGATTCTATCCTAGCCACTTCTAGGGATTTTACTTGCTTTACTTTTAGCTTTAGAGCCATTTTGACTATCATTTTACTGAAATCTCCTTTTCCAGAGTTTAGTGTAAGTGTTTTTTTTTGTTACTCTACCTGCGTTTTTGATGTTGAAGAATGTAGGGTTGTTGGATTTTTTGCCAAATTTCCATACTGCCAAATGTATTTAGAGAAGAAGACTGAGAATTCCCTATTGCTCTGTAAGATTAGAGCAGATCTTAACCAAGGCAAACTATTTGCATTTCTCATTTAGTCTGTCTTAAGGTTGGTGTGGATTTTTTTTGTTTAATTATCATCATCATCATTATCATCTGTTGTTTTGGTCACAAGCTTTTCTGTGTTCAAACCTGTTACTTAAAAACCATATTAATACACAGGAGATTTGCATGTATGCATGCTAATAATTCTGAAGCTGTTTCCTTTACAGCACTGTAATAATCTGTATCTGGAATTTAACAAGACTATTAGGAGGTAACACCAGTTATCTTCTGTTTGTAGGAGAGGGTAGAAGCAGCTCCATGTCTCGATTTTTAATTGTTTGAAATCTGCAGTGTTCTACAACTAGTTTTGGAACTGTCTTCTATATTTAAAAAAAATGTTCCTGGTATTTCCTTTTAATTATTGTCACTGCTTTCTGACTGACATACTTCTCATACGTAGTCTTCCCTTATGTTGGCATTCAGAGTAAGAATACAGAATTCTGAATCTGATTCAGGATATATGCTTGTATGAAGACAGTGAAACCCACCCCCTCAGTCCTGCAAGTTACTCAGTGTAGGTGGCCCCTATGTCCCTAAGGAGCCTAGTTGAAGCTAATGTGGTTCTGCAAGGATGTAGGGGTCTGCCTGCATGGAATACACAGAGGATCTAGGCCTAAATAATTATTAAAGTAGTGTGGATATAGACTTGAACTGAATTAGCTGAGCCAAAAGGATGTCATATGAAGCAGCACAGAAAGATTGTTAGCTTTGTCACAAGCCATATATTGTAAAAGAAATAGATATTACAAAACTTTAGTAGTCAATATCACTTATTTTTTGTGCTTTTGTTGTAGGATAAACAAGATGAACTTTTAAAGGAGGTATGTACACTTCTGGTTCATTTATTAGGTTATTTGTTAAATTTAAGTAAATTGTTTGTGGCTGTTCTACATAAAGCTAAGCTTAAAGAAAATGTTCCTTGAAGATATTAGAGGCAATTTCTGTCAGGTAGTTCAGGTTAAAAACTTGAGATAGATTTATTATAGGAAATAATAATAATAATAGTAATGTTCTTATAAATCACAAGTTTAAAAATTATTACTTTAAACTCGTGTATATTTTTATGTTGCCATTGCATTTGTTTGCCGTTCCAAGGGGACTATAAATCTCGCTATCTATGTTCGCTAGTTTTTACTTATGAAATAATCTTTGTAGGAAAACTAAATCCATTTTTTTTAAACCTTGTGTCCATTGAAGTATTTTAAAAAAGAACAGCAATTGTTTCTTACTGAGTAATGTCACTCCTGGATTTTAGACATTTTATAGCAGCATAATTATTTTGGTTTACCTACCTTTTTTATAAAGGGCAAAGTACATGTTTTCATTCATTAAAAAATTTAATGATTAGTCATATTTTCTGTCCTCAGCTTTCTTGTGAAGAAAGGAAGTATTAGTAATGCTTCCCATTTTACAAATGGGAAATTGAAGCACAGAGATTAAGGCCTTGATCCTTCAAACACTTACATAGATGAGTAACTTTATCTTTGTGTGTAGACCTGAGCTCATTGAGAATTTCCATGTGCACAAAGTTAATTATGCATAGGAGTTAACAGGACTAGGCGTATGTGAAGTGCCCAAGGTCACACAGGATGTCAAACCGAGATCCGAGACTCAGGATATATCTGCACTACAAAATTAGGTTGATTTTATTTAAGTCGACATTGCGCTTCCGATTTAAGCAAGTCGATTTTGCATGTCCTCACTATGCTCTTTGTGTCGGCAGAGCACATTCTCACTAGCAGGGCTTGCATTGACTCATGGAGCGCTGCACTTTGGGTAGCTATCCCACAGTGCCTGGAGCCGAGTGGAATGTTGGGTTGGGCTTGCAATGCCTCATGGGACCAAAACATTTGTGCGGGTGGCTATGGAAACATGGCATTAGCCTCCCATGTTGCACTTACCTAACTCTCTCCCTCCCTCCCTGAAATCAATGGCAAACAAACCAAGCCTTTTTTCCTAAGTCTGGGTTACCTGCGCAGACGCCATAGCACAGCAAGCATGGACCCTGCTGAACTGTACACTGTTGTTGTGAGCATTACAAACACCTCGCACCTTATCCTGCAGTATTTGCTCAGCTGAGGCAGGAGCCACCAGTGGAACAATGTGATGCCACCCAAGCTCTGCTGGAAGCCATGGAGCGGAGCAATTCGCAAATGCTGGTGACGGTCACTCATCACCTTGACACGGTAGAACGCTGCTTCTGGGCCCGGTAAACAGGCACTGACTGGTGGGACTGCATAGTTATGAATGTGTAAGGCCACTTTCATGGAACTGTGCGAAGAGCTTTCCCCAGCCTTCAAGCGCAGCAATACTAAAATGAGAGCTGCTCTGACAGTTGAGAAGCGAGTGGCGATAACTGTGGACGCTTCCAACACCAGACTGCTACCGGTCAGTGGGGAATCAATTTGGAGTGAGTAAATCTACCGTGGGGTCTGTTGTGATCCAAGTTTCCAAGGCAATCAATACACTTCTAAGAAAGGTAGTGACTCTGGGCAACATGCAGGACATAGTGGATGGTTTTGCCGTGATGGGATTCCCTAACTGTGTTGGGGCGATAGACGGAACGCATATCCCTATCTTGGCACCAGACCATCTTGCCAAAGAGATACTTCTCAATGGTGTTGAAAGCGCTGGTGGATCACAGGGGTCGTTTCACCAACATCAATGTGGGATGGTCGGGAAAGGTGTATGACATGTGCATCTTTAGAAACTCTGATGTGTTCAGAAAGCTGCAAGCAGGAACTTTCTTTCCAGACTGCAAAATAACAATTGGTGATGTTGAAATGTCAGTTGTGATCCTGGGAGACCCAGCCTACTCCTTGCTCCCATGGCTTATTAAGCCGTACACAAGCAACCTGGACAGCAGTAAGGAGCGGTTCAACCATAGGCTGACCAAGTGCAGAATGGTGGTGGAATGTGCCTTTGGACGTTTAAAAGCCCGTTGGTGTAGTTTGCTTACTAGGTTAGACCTCAGTGAAAGCAACATCCCATTGTTGTTGCTGTGTGCTCCGTAATATCTGTGAAACAAAGGGAGAAAAGTTTCCGGCGGGGTAGAGAATTGAGGCAGATCGCCTGGCAGCCAATTTTGAGCAGCCAGACACCAGGGCAATAAGAAGAGCACATTGAGGGACACGACGTCTCCGTGAGGCTTTGAAAACTAGTTTCATTTAATCAATGACTCACAGTAATGTGACACTTATGTGTGTTGTTCCTTACCAAGATGTCCCCTTCATTGCATGTACTCCCCGGTAAACTACACCCCCGCTAACCACAGTGTGCTGAATAAATAAAGAGCCTTTTCTCCTCAATCCATTAATTTTTATTATGCTCACAAACACTGAGAGACAGCAAAGAAAAGTAAGATAACCTGGGGCAAAAGGGCTGATAACACGTGGATGGGGGAGGAGGGAGACAAGGACAGCTTGCTTACAATTGCATTGCAATAACAATCAAAGGTGTAGGAATGGGCGCCTTCTGGTCCTTGTACCCTCCCCTGGTGCAAGGGATATCGGACTCTCCCCCCCACCCCCACCCTTCTCCCAGGAGTCCTAGGATGAGGAAGATATGGAACTTGGCGACGATGGCAGCAGGTTCAGCATAGGCTGCGGTGGTTCTCTAGTGTACAGCTGCCTTGAACCTCAACCAGACGCCTCAACATGTCTGTCTGCTCCCTCATAAGCTGCACCATTTTGTCCTGCATGTCACGCTCGTGTTCCCTTCATGCTCTCCTGTCCTCACAGTCATTGTGCAGGCTGTCAGACGGGGCAATCCTCCATGCGCTGAGCTCCGTCTTGTCACTCTCAGAGGCATGCATTAACTCATTGAATATGTCCTCCAGAGTCTTCTTTTTCCACCTTCTAATCTGGGAAAGTCTCTGTTCCGGTTTGGAGGACGCGTCTATGGACAAGGTTTCATCTGCAAAGAATACAAAGCACAAGGGTAGCATTGACAGTGCATACATTGTTTCTGGTGCAAGGTTAAATCTTTTTATAAAAGAAACACCCCTCAATGCACATCCCTGCAAGCCACAACGTAATCAGAACCGCTGGCTACTGCAAGAGTTGGTTTGCTGCTACAGCCATGGTGAGTGATGCCATGAGGCATGGGCAGAGTAATTCCATGAAAGCTTCCTAGAGATCTCTGTGGAGGATTCCAGGGCCATCCCCGTGCACATAAACAGTCTTTTTCCCTCTGCACCCTCTGCATAGCTGGAGTGGCCACCGATAACCACTATCCCAATTTTTTTATTCAGATTCAGCATTAAAAATAATATCATGTAACCCCCACAGTTTGATTGAAAATGTGTACTCACCAGAGGTGCATTCCACAGCATCATGCTCCACTGACAATTGGTCCTGTGAGGGGATGGGCTCCAGAGTTTAAAAAAAGTTCTTGTCTGTCAGGGAGAATGGATCCTCCGCTTGCCTGCCATGCATTCTCCTCTTCCTCTTCAGCAATGTCCTCCTCGTTGTCGCCCGGGGCTCCTGGGAGGTATCCACAGAGCATTTTGAAGTAGTGATGGAGTCACTGCCAAGAATCGCATGTAGCTCCTCATAGAAGCAGCATGTCTGAGGCTCAGAACCAGAGCAACTGTTTGCCTCCCTTGTCTTCTGGTACGCTTGCTGAAGCTCCTTTATTTTCATGCGGCACTGCTGCGTGTTCCTGGTGTAGCTATTCTTCCCCATGCCCCTCACAATTTTGGCATAGATGTTAGCATTTCTTCTGCTGGATCGGAGCTCTGCCTGCACAGACTCTTCTCCCCACACACCAATAATATCCACCACCTCCTGTGTACTCCACACTGGAGCGCGTTTGCGGCCGTGAACATCCATGATCAGCTGTGCTGACGAGCTTTCTACGCCGATTAAACAGGAAATGAAAGTTCAAAAGTTGCTGGGGCTTTAACAGGGGGATGGCTGTTTCCTGTGTACCTGGCAGAAGTGCAGTGGAGTTGAAATTACTCTCCAGAGCGGTCACAATGGAGCACTGTGGTACACCTCCTGGAGGCCAATTCATTCGAATTACATGGCACAGTGTCTACACTATCCCCATGTCGACACGTGGATGTCGACTTAAGCACTACGCCTCTCACAGAGGTGGAGTACAGAAGTTGACTTTACAAGCGCTTTAGGTCGGTGGAAGGGACTCGGTAGTGTAGACACATACATTATTAACTCGACCTAACGTGGCATATGTCAATCTAACTTTGTAGTGTAGACTAGGCCTCAGTCTAGTTCCATCCTTCCCCTCAACTCTGATAGGCTGAAACAGTTCTGGCTTCATGTATTGCTGAACCAGACTAGCATAGTTCTCATCCTCTTGATTATTAGGGCATACATAACTATTACATTACTCTCTAGTATGGTGATTGTGTACTTTTGTAGTAATTATTGGCCCTGAAGATTATGTGGTGGCTATACTAAATGTTACCAAATGGTGAAATATGTAGATTTTATGGGAATCCAGAGTTCAAGTCACCTTGTGTTCTGTAATACTATGGCACTTGAAGGTTTGTGGTTATTTCAGTTCTGAGGAAGAAAAAAATACCTTTTTGTAGGTGTTCACCTGTTGTTACCATCTCATTGTTTCATTAATAAAGTCTCCCAACAGAGGACAAAGGAAAACATGAGGACAGATGACGTCAAGCACTTTGAAAAATGGGAATTTTGTGTTAGAATACAATATATAGCTATATTATGTAGCTGAGGCCTGGCCTGACGTGAGTAATTAACACATGGAGGGAGGCCTTATTTCTTGGAGGATAGAATTAGGGAGATAAGCAGATCATTAAACTGAAAACAGAATGTTTGTGCTAAATAAGATAAGTTAAAAGGTCATGCTAAAAAGAGAATATCTGAGCCAGCTAAGAGGGAGAACACACATTGTTAGGAAATGGTTCCCTGGACAAGATAAGTTTGGAATGTAGAGATGAGGTCAAGTGTGGACAATGCATGGTTAAAGCATGCGGCACACGTGATGCAGTGTATAGTAAATGCAATGTAATGTCTAAATGGGTATAAAAGAAGAGATTTTCTGCGTAACTTCGGAAGTGTGGTATGCTCTTGAATCTAATCAGCTCAGTGTAGCTTTGCAATATGCCAGATAAAGATACCTGTAGTTGAACTGAGTTTTTTGGATCCCAGAGAACTGGATGAAGTCTTCTTCCAGAACTGACAAAGTGTTCTGAATAAGCCAAGTGGAAAAGATCTCTGAGGGAACATCAACATATTGGTGCTTTGTTTGTTTTAAAATTCTAGTTCACTAATAGAGCTAATTGCTGTTAATTAATGTTTGTACACTGCCCAGGATTTCTATTAAGTGTTAATAACTGAAGGGTTAAGAAAAATCATACTTCTTTCCCCGTTTTGCTGTGGATATGATTCTCTATCCTTTCCTAATTATTTCAGTTCCATACAATGACAATTATTTTCTGCTTGTTCATAGGCTGAGAAATTGGCAAAACATATGTCATCATACCAACATGATCTGGCTCCAACAATCACCAGTAATACAGTGTATTCTATAGATGCCAAAGAAGAACTCTTGGATGAATGTGAGGAGATATGGAGGCAGATGGAAAAGGTATGCATATCATTAGTAATAGACTAAGTTTATTGTATGTCATCTTCAAAACAATGTATTCTCACAGAGAAGACTGGGAGAAAATAATACAAAATACAGGCCAAAAGTGAAAGTGTAAATGGCACTGAGGGATGCATTATAATGTGACTTTTTGTTTGCAGTATTGATATTATGTCTATTTTAGATTAACAGAATGGAATGTAGTGTAAGTTTAAAAACAAATAAAAATATTAACTATTATTATTTGTTTTGAATTAGTGCTTAGTGGGCCCAGCTGAGATTGGGACTCCATTGTGCTAGACCAGTGGTCCCCAACCTTTTTCGTCTGGCGGGTGCCAGACGACGAACCACGGAGGACCGTAGCGGCGGACGAGCATCTGCCGAAATGCCGCCGAGAAGCGGCAACATCAATAGGCGTCGCCACCGAAATGCCGCTGAGAAGCAGCGTCATCCAGAAGTGTCGCTGCCGAAATGCCACCGGCGGCGACACCTATTGACATTGCCGCTTCTCGGCGGCATTTCGGCAGATGCTCGTCTGCCGGCCAGTACGCGGGTGCACTTAGATGCCCCGGCGGGCGCCATGGCGCCCGCGGGCATCACATTGGGGACCCCTGTGCTAGACTCTGTGCTAGACATTGTACAAATACTAAGTAGATGAGAGATAGACACAGGGTGGCAGAGGTTTGCAGAGCAGTGTTGTTAATTGCCAAAGGTCAATGGTCAGTGGCAACACCAGGAATAGAATTCAGGTTTTCTGACTTCCAAGCCAATGCCTTAACCATTAAACTGTGCTGCCTATCCACATTTTTATTGTTACTTTAAAAAAAAAAAAAAGCAGAATCCCTGTCTGATTTTTTTTAATGGTTTTGAGGAATCACTATACATTCTGAAAGATGCTAATACACCCATTCTAATTCAATTGGATGTGAAAGGAACAGTTATGTTCTAAATTATGGTACTTTGATTCTGAATGGCTTAACAGTATTTTATGTAGTATTCATACACGATAGTATATTATTTTGAGTACTGTGTACTGGTAATAAGATAAATAAAACTATAACCCAACTAATGCACATGAATAATCTGTGCTGTCAATTTTACTTCAAGAACTACTTGCAATATTTTCTTCAGTGATTTTTGCTCCGTTATTGACATTTTTGAAACAGGAAGCACCTCTTTAAAAAGTCAAAATAAAAAATGGTTTAAATACTTGTGACTTACAATAAAATATGTTAAATGTATGTAAATATTGGGGGCTGTACATAAAGAAATAATGTCTAATCATAAGTATATTCTAGGACTTCCTTTTTTCTGTAGGATTCTTTACTATATGTACATAATTTGGCATAGTGCATCACTTGGGATTAAACAAGCTGCAGGGAATAATGTCTCTTGCTTTATCAAGTACTCTTCCTAACTATCACAGAAATATCATTCCAATTTTTTATCTAGGATGACGTGATCTCTCTTGCCACCAATTTTTCAGAAACAGAGGAGAATCCAAAAATTTTATCAGTTTAGATTACACCTCACCAAAGATGTTCAGTGTAATGATTTCCCAACGTCTTTAGAACAATAAAGGAAATGCTTGCACACAGTTTTTGATGGCAGTTGGTAGCTGCAGCTACCACTTTCTTTCTCCTTTTTGTAGACCTAACATCACCAATGCATGTTGTATGCTGTATCAGGTAATTCTAGAGAGCTAATGATTGGCATATTACCTGCTCAGATTGTGTGGTTTATCATCTAACATTCCATTTATTTTATAATCATTTTCATCCTTTATTGCATAGCAAAATATAATATGTTTTATTATTTATTTCCAAAACATTAAGGATGAAGTTGTGAAACCACTGCTTGAGTCATGTAGTGTTTGGGAGAAAATATGCAGTTCTCAGGGGAAACTGACATACAACTTAATAGTGAAAGATGCTGTAGGCCTATTACTAACTTCTTGGAATATTATGCACCTGTTTATCCCATAGTGGGGTCCACCTAAGAAGACAATAGGAAAATGTTCACATAATGTAATACACTTTGTCTAAGGGCCCATGCATGAGCCAAGGTCGGTCATTCCCCATCAACTATAGAAACCAAAATGACTAAATGAGAGTATGAGACCTGTAAAAGAGCTCTGCCTGGCTTGAAAGCTTGTCTCTTTCACCAATAGAAGTTGGTCCAATAAAAGATACTATCTCACCCACCTTGTCTCTCTAAATGAGAGTATTGTCAATCACCAAGGCAAAAATCTCTCCTAATTTGCATGTGTATAAACCTCTTTCTCCCTCCCAACCTAGCTTAAAAAAATCTCCAAGTTACCAGGCAAGAGTCATACGCTGCTTTCCTATGCAGTATTTCAATCCCAAACTAACGTAAACATTGTGTTTCTTGTAAATCAGATATACCATGAACAGCTTTTTCACCCCAGATTAGAATCTGCACATTTGTTTGCATTGTGAGTTACATCTGTGTCCTCCAAATTTAGGAGATAAGAATTTTGTTGGTTTTCATTGTAAATAATTGTTGCATTCTAGCAGTAATGGAAATTGTGTGTCACAAATAAGAAGAAATGTTAAAAAATATAAACCAGGGTATAACTGTGGTATATTAAAAGAAAATGCTTAGAAGGGGGATCCCAATTGATAATAGGGGCAAATAGTGTAATACAACCCGTGAAATGAATCTGATTTTCAAAGCCTCCCATAAGAAAGGGATTAAAGAAATGTGTTTGTACACCATCACCATCTACTGGATACCAAGGGAAGCAGCAGAGAAACTAAGTTGAAATCTGAGCACTCATTTGGCACATGTCCAATAGGAATCAGAAGATGGGCCTCCGACCAGCCCTGAGATTAGGATCTATAAAACTGAAGTTACCATGTGCTCAAGAGAGTTGACTGAACCCAACACAAGCAGCTGCAGAATCCTAAATGCATCTGACACCTGAACCAGCTAGGTGGAAAGGACTCTTCCTCCATCCCAGGGTTAAGAGGGTAAAAAGAAGTGCTGAGATTTAATTTAAAAGATTGTATTTACCCTTATGGTCTTTAATATAAATGCCTGTAGGTTATCTTGCTGAGCCTTCACTCTCTAGCGAGAGCTCAAGTAACCATATTTTAGATTTTAACTCCTTTATAAGTCCATGCAAATTGATCTAAAACGGGTTCTCAAACTGGGGGTTGTGACCTACATAGGGGGTTGTGAGCTGTCAGCCTCCATCCCAAATCCCGCCTCACCTCCAGCGTTTACAATAGTGTTAAATATTTAAAAAGTATTTTTAATTTATAAGGGGGGGTTGCACTCAGAGGCTTGCTGCGTGAAAGGGGGTCACCAGTACAAAAGTTTGAGAACCACTGGCCTAAAAGATATTGAAAAGAATTTTTAAGCAATTGCTTTTAATATTCGAAATTTATCCCATGTGGACCAATCCTGTCAAAATGTAGTAACCATATTCTTAAAAGGGGTCTTAAAGACAAGTGCATTCTTGGAAGTACGATAAATGTGTGAGGAACTGAGAATTTGACTGTAAGTAAATAGAATAAGAATCTTGGTAATTTGCATTGCCTATATTTTACTGTTGATTGTATGTTAGTGTGGTACAGGGTTAATTAATAAATGGTTGGTTGGTTTAAAAATAAGTAAGTG